CTTAGTCTCCAGAGAGACACCATTGCTCTTCAGTACTTTGGAGAAGTCCCTAATAGCAGACTTTCCCATGGCATTGCACCTTTTAATTTCCTGGCTACTGGTGTCAAGAGTGTTGACTATGGAGCCAAGCAAGCTAAAGCTGTGAACAATCTCAATCTCTTCGCCATCCATCCTGATGCTGCCAATTGGTCCAGTGGTGAGAATCTTTGTCTTCTTGACATTGAACCTCAATCCATATTGGAGGCTGCAGTCCTTGACCCTCTGCAGCAGGTGCTTCAGGTCCTCTTCAGTTTCAGCAAGCAGGGTTGTGTCATCTGCATAACGCAAATTGTTGATAAATCGTCCAGCAATCTTGACCCCACATTTCTTCCTCATAGAGCCAGCCTCCCGGATAATCTGTTCTGCATATAGATTGAAAAGGTATGGAGATAGGATTCATGCCTGGCGTATGCCCTTCCCAATTTTGAACCATGCAGTATTCCCTTGCTCTGTTCTGACGACCGCCTCCTGGTCCAAGTATAGGTGTCTCATTAGAACGATCAAGTGTCATTCCTCATAGTCATTCTATAATAATGGGTTTTTTTACATTATTTGTCCTTATAGGACTGAGTTAGTTCACTCAGCACAATGCCCTCCAGTCCCTTCCTAGTTAGGTCGTAATTTACAAAATCATTGCTCCTGCATGCAGCATAGTATTCCATTGTTTCAATGTATCACAACTTCTCAACCCATTTTATTGTGTTTGGACATCTGGGCTGTTTCCATGTTCTTGCGATGGTAAATAACACTGCTATGAACATTGATGTACAAATCTCCATTTATGCCTCAGTTCTCATTTTCTCAGGGTATATTCTAAGCAGTGGAATAGCTGGGTCATATGGAATATCTATGTTCAGTTTTTTGAGGAAATACCAAATTGCCTTTCAGAATGCTTGTACCATTTTACAATCTCACCAACAATATATTTATAGTTCCTATCTCACCACATCCTCTCCAACATTTATCACTTACTCTACTGTTAGACTTTGCCACTACTACTGTGGGAATGTGGTATTTCATTGTGGTTTTGATCTGCATCTCTCTTATTGCCAGTGATTTGGAGCATTTGTTCATGTGTCTGTTGGACATACGAGTATCTTCTTCTGTGAAAGTTCTTTCCATGTCTTTTTATTATTTTGTAATTGGGTTATTAGTTTTTTTCTTTTGGAGGCCCACGAGTATTTTGTAAACTTTCATTATGAGATTCTTGTCTGAGATAGCCAAATCTTTGCTCCCAGTTGATAAGGTCTAATTCACTCAGCACAATGTCTTTTAGGCTCACCCATGTTGTGTAATGTTTTACAAGTTCATTGTTTTTCAGTGCTGTGTGGTGCTTCATTGTCTGAATATATTATAGTTTTTCCATTTGTTATTTGATGGACTCTTGGGTTTCTTCCATCTTTGTTATTGTGAATAACACAGCAATAAACCTGAGTGTGCCTTCATCTGTGTGAATCATGACTCTGATTTCTTTAGGGTTTATTCCCAGGGGTCAAATGATATTTCTATTTCCAACATTTAGAGGAAGTGCCAGATTGTCTTCAATAGTGGTTATGCTATTTACATTCTGACCCGTAGTGAATAAGAGTTCCAATCTCTCCACAAACTCACCAGCATTTGTTGTTTGCTTCTGTGTTGAACATTGCTATTGTTTCTAGGGTGAGATGATATGTCATAGTTGTTCTGATTTTTGAGAATACACTAAACTGCCTTCCAGAGTGGTTATACCACTTTATAATCCCACCAACAGTGTATGAGAGTCCCAATCTCTCCACATTCTCTCTACCACTTATTGCTTTCTGTCCTATAAACCTTGACCATTGCTATTGGAGTGAAAGAGTATCTCACTGTGGTTTTGATTTGCTTCTCTCTTATTGCCAGTGATTTTGAGCATTTCTTCATGTGTCTGTTGGCCATCCGAATATCTTCCTCTGTAAGAAGTTTTTCCATGCCTTTTGCCCATTTTGTAATTGTGTTATCAGTCTCTTTCTTGTGGAGGCCCTGTAGGATTCCATAAACTTTTGTTATGAGACCTTGTCTGAGATGATATTGTCAAATGTTTCTTTTCCAGGAAGTAGGTTGTATTTTCACTGTATTGGGAAAACATTTATAATGTGGACAGGGATTTAATTTTTAGAAGGTCCTATTCATCAATATTATCCTTTCTTGGTTGTGCATTCTGGCTGTATTTGCCAGCGTATTTATACCATTGGCTAGGCCATTGAAGTTTGGTCCCATTTTGTCTCTTATGATCTTTATGGTTTGAGGCTTTACCTCTAGGTCTCTGATGCATCTTGAGTTGATTTTTGTTGTGTATAGTCAGAGATGTAGATCCTGCTTCAGCTTTATGCAGGTAGAAGTCCAGTTTTGCTGAGGCTGCAAATACTAATGGGAGAAAATTGTACATCTTCCTCCATGGAGACCTGGTGGATTCAGACTTCCAGAAATGCATAGTCATTTGGTTAACAGTGCAACCCTCTATGGCTCACACCACCAGACCGCCTTCATTTCTAATCCAGTGTTTCTCAAACTTTACCATCTAGATGACCTGGGGATCTTATTGCAAATTAGGTTCCTGGGCCTGCCCCCAGAGATCCTGACTCTTGTGTAGGATTGGGTGGACAGTCTGCGTTTCTAACAAGCTTCTGTGTGGTTCTGGTGCTGCTGGTCCTGGAATCTGTTAGGACCAGGGCTGACCTGCTCTCGCAGCCACCTCCTTGACACAGCAAGTGACCCAGGTCTAGTCAGTTAGTGTTTTCCTAGAGTCCACACCTCGGAGATTGTTGCCAACCACAGACTTACTGATTTTCGTCAGGCTCCCCAGGTCCCCTCCCAGAAGCTATGGTGGCATAATGGGTTAAGTGCTGGGCTGCCGATCAAATGGTTGCCGCTCTGTGGGAGCAAGATGGACGGTGTGCTCCCATTGAAACATAAGTCAGTTACAAAAAAGACAATTATGGTATGTTGTCGTTTGTTGTTAAATACTGTCAATTTGGAACTGACTTATAGCTGACCCTTCAGTGGATTTTCAGAGGCTGTACCTCACAATCACTGCATGCCTTTGGTTGTCAGTGAAACTCCTTACAATTCAGTCATTTGTTGTGTGTCATTGAGTCAGAATTGACTCATAGATTACCCTCCAGTGGCTTTTCAGAGGCAGTAAATCGTATATAAGGAGGCTGCCCATCTTTTTCCCATTGAGAAACTGGTGGATTTGAACCATGTGCCTTTGTGATTGCAGCATAGTATCTTATCACTCCCCATCAGAACTGCCTTACTAAGCCACTGGAGTTCCCTAATTCTGGTATGTTTGGATAGACATTATAATTACATTTATCCATTTTAATTGATGTTATCAAACGAAATGTCTGAAATGTCTGCAACCGATTGAATGGACATGCAATCTGATTTGTAAACTTACACTCAATTAAAAATGATAAAAAGATTTGAAACCTTGGAAATCCAATCACGTTCTATTTTGTCTCCTTGGGTGTTGCTGTGAGTCAGAATCACCACAACAGCATGAGTTTGGCATTTGGTCCTTCACGCATTTTTTAAAATTATT